CCCTTGTGGGCTTTCTGGGACCTGGTACCAGGAGTTGGAGGCTGTGGCACAGGGACCAGCCTTTGTCCTTCTTTGCTATTTCTTGTCCCTGTGATCTACTTTTGGGAGTCCTGTTTCAGAGCCTATGTGGACTTCTCACTGGCCACTTTTCACCCGACCCTGGGAAGTGGGGACCATTGTTTCCATTGTACAGATAAGCAAAATGAGGGTGAAAGGGCAGGAGATGGACTCAGAATGATAGAGGGAATACATGGTAGAGCCTCAGTCCTGCTCAGTCCCCTGCACAACCCCACAAGGAGCCAGAGTCAGCCCTTTAGCTGCCCTACTGTAGGACGTATGACTGTGGCATTAGGAGTGGTAGAAACCCAGAGCCCCAGCTGGCCCTATGCTGAGCAGGCTTTGCCAGAGAGAGGCTGAGATTCTATACCCCACAGATTTAAGATTTTTCTTGGGACTGAGAGTCTCAGTCTACCTTCTTTCCCAGGCCTCCATCCTGGCAGACAAGGGACTCCCAGTGACTGCGTGGCTTATCTTGGGGCCCATGACATTTGCTGAATGGATGGAGCACAGGGAGGTGTGGGTCCTGTGTGGGTGTGGCATCTGTGGGAGGCCTGGAAGGGGCTTCTGGGGTCTGATCTGTGCTGCAACTTCACATGCCTGCCACGAGGGGTTGCTGGGCCAGGCTCCCTGAGGCTGGGCCATTGCCAGCATGCCCAGAGCTCCCAGCAAGGCCTCTTGGGCTAGGGTCTCACATATCTGGGGCTCTCATCTTACAAGGAAGAGACTAGAGGCCCAGAGGAGCCATAGCCACAGGGGCTGGCAGGGCTGGGTGGGTCTGGATGCCTGGGAACCTGGCATATCCAGGCCAGTCTGTCTTCTGTGTGTAGGGGGGTCCCTGAAAGTTGGGTAGCAGAACTTTCTCTTTGGCTATCGGTCCCAGCTCTGTTACTTCCTACCATGTGAGTTCTTTGGGCTTTATTTGGCAGGTCTGCTAACTCAGCTCCTACCAGTCCTTCACAACCCATACAACCCTATGTCCTTAGGCAGGAACTGAGCTCCTGCTCTCTGCCCTGTCACTCTGTTCTATTGTCTGCACCCACCCAGGGTAGGCCAGGCATTGCCGTTGATGCAGGAGAACAGTTGGGTGAGGGTCAGTGGTCAGAACAGGGGCTGTGGGGCTCAGTGGTAAGGGAAGGCTTCCTGGAGGAAGTGTTGCCTAGATTGCTGTGGAGGCTGTGAGTCAGGCTGCTGGGGCTCAGGGTTGGGACTCAGCTGCCTCCCCAGGTGCCAGCCTGGACTTCAGCACACAGTGATGGCCAGAGGCGGCCTGCCAGCCTTCCAGATAAGATGGTAGCACTGGCCTCAGGCTTGCTGGCATATGGGGCCATTTCCCATGAGAGCTCTGGGTACTCCAGTTGAGACCCTACTAAGACTGAGGTCACCATGCAGAGACCCTGGGGAAGAGGGCTGCAGACAGCTGGAACAGCACATGCAGAGGCCCTGAGGGGGAGGCAGCCTCAACTCCCAAATAAGGGAGAGTCCCACTGGTGTGACTGTGTGTCGGGGATGTGCTGCTGTAGGAGTGCTGGGCTCTGTGTGTGGCCGTGTGCCAGCCCAGGCTGCTCAGCCACTCAGGATCTGAATGAAGGGGTTTGTGGTCTTCTAGCAGAGCTTGGTGCCTCACTCCTGAGAGCACAGCACCTGGGTTCAATCCTATGACTTGCAATGTCAACTGTGTGCCTAGTCTCAGAGCAGCCATTCCCCTGGGCAAGGACAGCCTGTTAACACCCTCCTCACTCATCTGGTTAAAGAAATAGCACTAACCACCTGTCTTCTAGTTTACAAAAGTAGTACACATTTGTGGGATGTTTGGGAGAAAGGGGACAGTGTGAGACAAATGTCCTTCCAGCTGGATTTATCCAAGCACATGTATTTGTAGGGTGGGTGTCATTCCTTAAAACTAGAATGGAACTGTATACCCTGTCTCCTGCTTCTGAAATGTGTTTAATGCTGAGCAGTGTCAGTGGCCCTTGGGTCCAGATGCTTGTCCAGCATCCCAAGACGCCAGGCAGAATTCTGAAATTGCAAGTGACAGAAGCATACCAGAGACAGAGCACCCCGGGGAGCTCAATAGTAGCTTCTAGAGAAAGCCCTGAATGGGCAGGAGCTGATGAGCTATGCTTGGAGATACAAGGGGCAGGGACCCTGTGTTGGTGGGTGGGTGAGGAAGCCCTTGCTAGGCACAGTTGGCTCTGAGTGTTTCCCTCTTGGCCAGTGTCTGGTCCCAGGGACAATCTGGCTGGTCAAGACACATCATGCCTACCTTCTGGTCAGGTCAGTGTGAAACTCTTGGCCCAAACCACCAGGTCCACACACTTGGAGCAGATGTTGGGCCACCCACAGCCAGCCCATCACCTGGAGTCTTGGTGATACTGTGTCCACTTCCTTAGGTCCCATTGTTGGGCATTTTGGTGGCTCCTGGTTTTCATGATTCTGGGGCTGTTGTGGTACCTCCTATCCCCAGGAGTCTCTGTGGGTCTCTGATCATTTCCTTAGACTGAAGTCTGGACCCTTGAGAAGTCTCTAACAAGGGAGGTCTTCAAGGCTTTTCCTGGGGGCATGTAGATATTGGGAGGTGATTCTCCCTCAGGGCACTGCCTCCCCATCTCTCTGGCTCCAGTAGATGCTGTGATCACTCCA